ATAAACACAATATGCAACTATGTGATGTTATTGACATTTTAACAGAATAAAATTTTTCCTGTTGCGATTTTGAAAAGTGTAGAATGGTTGTGACTATAGTTTTGTATTATGGTGACAGGATGTGGAATCAAGCTAGCATGTGCTGGCTATGCAGTGATTGGTATGGACTACGAGGGGCATGGAAGGTCCAAGGGTGCCCGCTGTTATATTAAGAAGTTTGACAATATTGTGAATGACTGTTATGACTTTTTCAAGTCAGTTTCTGGTAGGTTGACCAATTCCTTAAGTTGATCCATGCTCAAATTTCACATAATGTCTTTAATTTCACATTTTCACAGAGCAGGATGAGTATAAAGGCAAACGGAGATTTTTATATGGAGAGTCGATGGGAGGAGCTGTTGCGTTGTTACTTCACAAAAAAGACCTTACCTTTTGGCATGGTGCAGTTCTTGTCGCACCCATGTGTAAGGTAATGCTAGATTGCCATGGATGATTCATAATTACACATTAATGATGATATATACTGCCTGTTTTCACTTGCCGCCTTAAACGATCTTGATATAACTGTTTCTCGTGGATCAGTTGTGCTTACTGTGGTTGTTAAACAGTTAAAGAATATTTGATGGTTTGATATATGAAACTATGAAAGTATGAAACAGTGTTCACCAATAGCCATGAGAAGGGAAAAGGCCTTTCCTGTAAATTGCATTGGTAATCTAAATTGCAATGTTTCTAATACTCTGGTGAAACTGCCAGATATCAGAAAAGGTGAAGCCTCACCCCGTCGTTATTAATATTTTGACACAAGTGGAGGAGATTATACCTAAATGGAAGATAGTTCCCTCAAAAGATGTTATTGATTCGGCATTTAAAGACCCTATCAAGCGGGAAGAGGTTATATTCTAATTCATTCTCTGATTCTCAAACCATTGGAAGTGTATGTGTTCAATACACGCGTTTTCACCATTTTTTTCCTCCTTTTGAGATATCCTCTGTTGCCTGTTCTGCAGATAAGGAGCAACAAGCTCGTATATCAAGAGAAACCCAGGCTGAAAACAGCTCTGGAAATGCTGAGAACGAGTATCGGCCTTGAGGACAGCTTACATGAGGTTAATATTATCTACTCTCGACCATTTCTAGAACTTGCAAATTATGTTCTCATTCTTTGTCAGTCATAAGAAGACTTGCTATTCATACGTTATTATAAGGATTAATGTGATATTTATAAGTTACCCCTAATCTGAAGAGAATTTTAAAATAAAACTACTAACGCGGCATGATTTATGGTTACAGGTAACCGTGCCATTCTTTGTACTACATGGGGAAGCAGACACAGTGACTGACCCTGAAGTAAGCAGAGCATTGTATGAGCAAGCCAGCAGCGTCGACAAGACCTTCAAACTATATCCAGGAATGTGGCATGCTTTAACATCCGGAGAGCCTGATGACAATGTAGAGCTTGTTTTCAGTGACATTGTTGCATGGCTTGACAAGCGCAGTGACATTGAATACAGTACATTGCACAACCAGTTCCTTGCTCATCGTGGGAGCGGGGCTCATGTTGTCAGATCTGCACCCACAACACCCTTGATGAACGGTGGAACAAAAAAGAAGCAACAAAAACCAAGTGTGTATGGGAAATATTTATGTGGTTGGAAAGGACCTCGTATGCATCATCACTCGTCGATGTAGAGCCTTTGTTCGCTTTGAACACTATTCAGCACTCATGGGCGTGTATGTAATTTCGTGTTTTTTTGTGGTGGTGGTGGTGGTTGTTGTTGGGGGGGGGGGGTGGTTGGGGATCATCATTTAGCTCTACTGAGAAAAGTCATAGTAAAAAGTATTTCATTTGTCATGAACTTGATAAATGTCTGTAAAAATAAAGTGAAACTGAAAATTCTGTTAATATTTACTGGCATACTGCTATATCAATTGACAATATGTAAAGCTCTTTGTTTATGTTTCTATAGAATCATGTCGAGTAGCTAATCCTAGTTTCTAAATACTAAATATCCTAATGTAGTAATTAATTTATTGACAACCTCCCCACCCAAAAATAAAAATAATTATAAGACCTCACACTTAGGATTTAAGACGTTTGGTTGGTGAAAGAAGAGATGGTGTACCCTAACTCAACTACTAGATGCGTAAATCTTCCATTTTCATAATATTTGTAGACTAGTCACTTTGTCCCAGTTTACCTGCAACATTTTGACTTAACACACTTGCCGATGCACATGTTTGATTGTTAATACTCCCCCCATCCCGTAATATAGTTTTTGTTTGTGTTTTTTCACGGTATTAAAAATTAAAAAAAGGTGGATGTATTACATTAATAAAAGTGAAAAGTACAGTCATAGAAAAAAGTTAGCGAAAGTGGAAAAAAGTACATGACATGTGCAAAATTCAGCGGTAAATTAGGAAGTACAATGAATCAAGTAAAAAAAGTGAGGGTATAATGGTTTTTACATACTATCCAAAAATAGAAACAGGAACAACATTTTGGATCTCAAAAATAGAAAAACAGTACTATATTATGGCCCTGTTTGGGAGAAAGCTGAAAGCTGAAGCTGATTGAGTTAGCTGATTTTGACTAGCTGATTTTATTAACTGATTTGACTAACTTATTGTATTAACTGGTTATATAAAAGTGTTTGGTAAATAGCTGATAGCTTAAAGGTGATTGAGTATGTAAAATGACCAATAAGCTAATTGTGGGGTAGGTAGTTTAGATAGGATTTTAAATTAAATGAGGCTATAAATGTCATTTCACAATAATTAATGAATAAGCTAATTGAAAAAGCTCCTAAAATGAGCTTTTTCAAAAAGAGCTTATTTAGTGGAATAAGCTCTTTCTATAAGCTTTCTACCAAACACTTATATTAGCTTGTTTGACTAGTCAATCAGCTAAAGTTAGTCAAATTAGCTAATATACCCCCAATAAGCTTACTACCAAACAAGGCCTATGGGACGAAGGGAGTATATTTTATTATATACTTATTTAAGCTATTAAAAGTTTATATTAAGAAACTATAATTAAAATAGACCCAACAACATATTGCATGATTACATTGACTTTCATATAATAGCTTAAAAAAATAGTCAAAGTGAGATGTGTAAATAGTATAAAAAGTTAAAACGTTACGAATAATTTGGGACAGAGGGAGTACTTAGCTAGATGCATTCCTAACTTTTTATATTTATGCTATTCCCTCTGTTACGAATTACTCGCAACAAAGAGGGAGTTTGCGGACTCCTAGGCAAAATATTGAAAGTATGATTAATATAAAATAAGGTCATACACTTAAGTGTTAATCTTAAAAAAAAAAAAAAATCAAAGTTTTAATTTACAACCCAGCAGCTGAAATCACAAACCACCACCACCTATCACCACCACTTAGCACCACGAAACCACCCAACACCACCACCTAGCACCACAAAACCACTCAACATCACCACCTAGCAGAGCGAAACAACCCGACAACACCACCCACCAGCACGAATCATCGAACACCACCCACCACCACCCACAACCCCAAACCCATAAATCTAGAACTCACGAACCCAGAATCCAAAACCCACAACTCAAAACGCGAACCCAGAACCCCACAACCCACGAACTAACAATCCATGAACTGACGACCCGAGAATCCCGTCCCTGAGAATATACACATTTCACAATCATCAATATAATTAAGGCTTTAATTGATCAAATTTAACTATCAAAACTCTAAATCTAGATTTTTCATGGTTAAATTTGACCATAAAACCCAAGGACGAAACAAAAATAGAAATGGAAGAGAGAAAAAACGGAGGCAGCTAGAAGCAAGGGGACATCGGCCTTGACTGCCGGCGACGGTGGCTGTCTCCATGGAAGGTTGTGATCGAATTGAGGTGAGATGAACAAAGAGAGAAATTTCTTGAATGATGAATAGAGAGTGGAGATCAGTGGTAGGTGGTGGTGGATGAAGATGATGATGAATTTGGATGGAATGAGAATTATTTTGGTGGAAATATTAGTTAAGATGTTTAAATAAAAAAAGTAAGGGTAATTTTGTAAAATCACATTAAAAAACGTATTATAGGGAAAAAAAATTGTTGCGAGTAATTTGTAACGGCCATTTATAGTAAATGTTACGAGTAATTCGTAACGGATGGAGTATATAAGATTGTGACGCATACCCCATATATTTTTTTGGGTTTTTCTACTTTATAACCTTTTAACTTTCCGTTTTCTACAATGTGCCCTCCATTTTTTAGATATCTACATTGTAACTCCAAAATACTTTTATGTTCTATATGGTAACCTTGCCGTTATCCCGCCGTTAACAATTTTGTTAGTGGGACCCACTCTCCACTTAATAATTATTTTTTTATCGATTTGTGTGTTAAAAATTGTTCGGTTAAAGGTTTTGGGGGCTATTTTGGTTCTTAAGGGTCCAAATTGAGTTCAATTTTAGCAAAAAAAAAACATAAATACGAATACGTAAACACGCAAATCAAGACATTTTTAAATACACAAAACTAGATATTTATGTTTTTTTTTGCTGGACCTTTTAAGACCAAAATAGCCCCCAAAATCTTTAACAGAACAATTTTTAACTCGCAAATCGATTAAAAAATAATTATTAAGTGGTGAGTGGGACCCACTAACGGAATTTGTTAACGGCAAGATTACCGTATAAACACTAAATGTATTTTGAGGTTACAATGTGGATTTCTCAAAAAGGAGGGACAAATCGTAGAAAACGAAAAGTTACAGGATTATAACGTAGAAAAACCTTATTTTTTTCTTAAAAAAAACTTGCGACCTTTTAACATCTTGAATATTTATATTTGACGACTATATAGAGTATTAATTTTATAAATCTTATCTAGCAAACTACAACATTTATTCTCAATTACTTGAAAAATTATTGTTATTATTTAATTAATATTTTCTTTCTTATACGGAGTAGATAATTTTGGAATGCCCATGTTTCCATTTTCCAACACAAAGAGTCAAGATAACTACGACTCTGCAAAGCGGCATGAGATAAATCTCAAAATTTTGTGAGACAAAAATAGGTTTATCCAAGCTTTTCTCAGCTCAACATGGAAGTGATGGAACAACCTCAAGAACCTCTTGAACCAACCAACTCTGTTGTTGTAAGTACTCCAAAATCATCCTTAATTTATACATTCTTTATAGTTTATACTCCGTATAAGCTAGGTGAGTCGAACTTTTAGTCACGTTACTAGTTCAAATTACATTATATTTCAAATTACATTATATATGTCCGGACTAGGGGACTACGAGTATTAACTTGTGTGTGAGTTTGATCCTATAATGATACATACAGGTGTATGAGAATGAAGAGAAAAGGCTTAAACACTTGGATTTTGTGGAAGCAACGGTGGAAAACATTGTTGTTTTTCTAAAAAAGGTATATCAACTGAGCAAGTAGCATAGTGGTCCGTTCAAGGTACGAGTCGAGGCCATCGAAGAATTCGTGTTGAGAATCGTTGGACCTGTCTGTGACAAGTTCCACCATGTTCCCTTACAGCTTCTTGAATTCCTCGACCGCAAGGTTAGTGATGAGTTTGATGAAACTATTTTTTGGATGCCAAATAGATTGGTTCGACGAAAAATTAGTTATTATATTGTCTCAACCAATAATGATTACAGTAAGTACATGACGTAACAAAATTTATTTAGAAATTTTGATGCTTGTGCTACATCCTCACTCCATCTCTTAAGTATGGATACAGGAGTACTACATCAGCAACATTGTATGTCCAAAAACCCTAAATTAAATAGTAAGTGGATATCCTAAGTTACTTGGGCTATTCATTCATACCGTAGAACTCGAATCAGGATACGAGTGGCATGATTGATGGACCTTCGAAGTTCATTTTTCACCAAAAACATGTATGCAAGATTATCTAAGTACATCAAAGATGATAGGTGAACATACCCCTGTCACTTGCAGAGTTGCAGCCATTTTCCTGCACCATTTCTCCTAACCAGTTGAACAAAGCGTCTGTTTCGTTGTTGAAGGATCGTGTATAATTCATTGGTCTCCGACTCAGTAACCACATTAGATACAGCTCTTATTACACATACAGACATGCTACACAACACAGCACTAGCCCTATCAGGCTATCCGCAGCAAACGCCCTGTTCCCTGCACTGCAATCCATAGTATAATGATACATTACTTCAGTGAGTTTTCCTGTTTACAGCAGATACAGAACGTTTGTTTGGCCTTATATATCGTCTTAGATACAAATTTTATTAGCCAACATGATAATTCTTCCATACAGCCTATTGTCAACAAGGCTGGATATTAATTTTTAAAAAAATACTAGTACATAAGAAAACCTGTACTTGCTATGTTTTTTTTATAGAATATTTACTCATGAGATATATAGGTGGACGAGTTCATCCACGAGATAGACTGGAGACAGGAGTCCTTACCAAAACTAATGACACACGTGACAAAGAAAGCTGCAGAGGTGACAAGGGAGCTAGCCATGGAGATCCAAGCAACCGGCCTGCTCGATGCAACAGCTAACGCTGCAAAGGAAGCATATTTGACTTACAAGCCAGTGGCCAAAGACATGATCATCAGGTATGAACCAGTAGCTGAGGAATATGCAGTTTGGGCATGGCAGCTGTGTAAACAAGTTTCAGTCCTCGCGCAAGTTAGCCAGTTAATGGTTCCAACCGCGGCATTTTGGGCTGAAAGGTACAACACAGTGGTGGACTTTACAGCAGAAAGTGGGTTACCAATGGCTCATTACTTACCTTTGATCCCTCTTGAGAAGATTGCTAAAGTTTTTGCTGAGGCTGATGAAAATGGGTTTTGATATGTTCTGTAGTTTGTGTTGAGTGTTGTCATTGTGTTAGAATTTTTTTTCTGGATAATTTGGGATACATTTTCTTGATGGTGTATGAAGTTGTGAACCACCTTTTTAATTGGCAATCAAATTAACTGCTACTCTCTCTATTTTGTATCAATTAATCACTTTTATGTTATATTACTCAGATTCTTCATTTCACTTCAAGTATCCGTCTCAGATCCTCGATACTCAGACATGTATAAGACACTTGGATACTTCATTATAGTTCAAAATCATAGAAATGTTTTATAAAATAGCCGAGTAAGTAACACACAGTACTTCCTCTATCCCTTTAAAAGCCTATTTCTAATACTACATATTTATTACTCAAATAATTAAGAGAAATAGGCTTCTAATTTAAGGATGGAGGGAGTAGCTTTTTTTATCTATATTGATAAAGTTATAATGGAACTTAGACTCCGTTCTTTAGACTGCTCAAAAAAAATCTGCTCGGCTCTGCTTAATTTTCAAGTAATAATTAATATTCAATAATAATAATAATTAATATTGTATTGATGATAGTAATTTAATATTTTGAATAATTATAATAATTATTAATATTAAAAATAATTTAAGTAATTAATAATAATAATAATATTATTAATAATAATTAATAATAATAATTATTATTATTATTAGTAGTAGTACTACTAATACTAGTACTAATAATAATACTAATACTAATAATAATAACAATAACAATAATAAATCTGCTCTGCTCGGCTATCCTGAAATCTGCTCTGCTCTGCTAAAATTTGATCTGCTCTGCTGTGTTGATCCCTGCTTTGCCCAGAAGCTCAAAAGAACAGTGTCTTACTTTATGATACAAATCTACCAAACATATTCAGAAATGAAAAAAATTACTGCCTCTGTTACTATATTTTCTTGACAATTATGGAGAGCTATTACACGAGAATTGAGGAAAGAGGATAAATAAAGAATGGAAAATTGGGTACCATGCAATAAAACTGCAAACGCATGCATGAAAATAGGGTCCATTAATGACAAGTGATTAAGGCCCTATATTATTTGTTTAAGGTAAAGAGAATAGGGCCTAAACGAGGTGGTTGTGCAAGGTCAAAGAGGATAAATTAATACAAATATCAATACCAAAAAAGAATGAAGTAGAAGTATAAAGAATAGACAATGTAAAAAAAACATAAAGAACAAATAAGAATGGAGGTAACAATATACTTTGTTAGTTTGTTATAGAAAGAAGTAAAATTATAAAGAATCGACAATGTAAAAAAAAAACAGAGAATGACAATTGAATTATTTATCAATACCAAAAAAACAATGAAATAGAAGCATAGAATAATTTAATCAAAGTTCGTTAGTTCGTTTACAAAACGCAAAAATGACAATTGAAGCCCGACTTTCACCCTTAAGTACCTAAATTAATTACTGAATGAACTCTAGTATCAGTGCAAATAATCAAGAGAATTATTTATTTACTTTCACATTATTTCAATTTTTTCTATAATAACCCAAAGCTCAATTCTCCCAAGTATGAAATCAACTTAAGCATACGTAGCAAAACAAGATTACTGAAATAAGTAAATAGATAATTCTAACAATGGTAGTACGGCAAGTATTACTTCACCGTACTGATACAAATTTGACCAACAAATATCATCTATGAGGCATTAGCCTTTCAACCAACCAAAGAACGAGGAAGCACAATACTCATTCGTCTAATTCAGTAATTGTGAGCATAAAAGAACAGTTAAAATTCCATGGTGAACTACTTCATCCATTCTTTCTAAACAATAGGCCACGTAACTAAGACTCGATCCATGTCCAACGCCATAACTTCGACCAGCCTAAATCTAGAGGCTATATAATCCAATTTAAAAGACTCATTTCATTCCATACCATGCCAACAGATCCAAGATGATTTTGCTATGCAAAAAGATATCAGAAACATAAGAGAGGCTAGCAAAAAGATATTAAAAGAAATAAGATATTCAAAGAAATAAGATTGCCATTAATAAGAGAGGCTAGCAAAAAGATATTCAAAGAAATAAAATTGCCATTAATGGTAAGCAACAAAAGTCGATTTTCATACTCATATTAATACATTGATAACCCGCATATACTAGGGAGTGGTATATATCCCAAAAAAAGAGCTACTAATGATGAAACAAAGCCTTATTGAAAATGACAAAAGAAGCGACTTGAAGAGTAACAAAGCAATCAAAATTTGATCACCACTGCAAAAGTAAATGACAGAAACCAAAAATGAAATGCAGATTTTAGTAGATAGAGTAATTCTCACTGACACTAGGCCTGAATTTCCGATAAATGGCAAGAGCAATTGGAATGAGACCGGCATATGCAAGAGCTACATGATCGGAGCTGCTTGTCCTCACTGTGATCTGCCCACTCTGTTTGTTGTTCAAGGCAACACGAACAGCCATCTTTGAACCCCGCCCAACAGAAATCTGGGACTGAAGGTTTCCTCCTATTGCCAGGTCTCCTCTCCATTTCATCAGTGACAGCACAAATGAGGACTGATCTTGGCCAATTGGATAATCTTCTTCTCTGAGACGTATTTCCAAATTAGCTCCATAAGCAGCATCTTTCTGAGAACGAACCGTACCTGTGCTCCCCACCAAAACAAGCCTCTTGCCCAAAGCAATTTGATCTTCAAGTTTCACCCCAGTGGCAACATTCTCCCCCAAAAATGTAACAGATACTCCAGCTGCTGTCTTGTTCTTCTTCAAGTTTTTAAATTTGCTTTCCCCTCTCACGATGTAGGCAAGTTGCTTGCCAATGGTTTGAATATCAAAGCCAACTAAGCTAGAACCATTTTCTCCATGCTTTGCTGAAACTGCAGAATCTAAGTGAATATTAAAGTCTTTCTTATCCTTAGTCACCTGCACAGTAACTGCAGCAGGGAAGCGTCCTGCAATTCCAAGATTTTGCTCAACATTGACACCATCATACCCACAGTCATGGTCCCAACCATGGGTGTCCAAAACTGGCCGGGCCAAGAATTGCGAAGTAGGCTCCAAGAATCGATATCGATAAGCTGGAGTGTCACTGTCAAAAGAAGGTGGCAAAACCATGTCGGGTAAAGGAACTGGTACAGCAGCTGGAGCTCCATTCTCACCATCATAATCTTCTGGCATCTCACTGTATTCATCCATACTTGGTTTGCCATTTTTCTTCATATCCCTCATTCTTTTGAGCTCCTCTCTCAACTGCTTTCTCTGAAGAAGCTTCACTCGGTAGTCATATTCTTCAAAGTATGCCTTCTTCTGCTCTCTACTAAGCTTAGCAATCTGAGTTTTCCTCAAAGGCTTAAATGGTGGGAGCTGATCATACTCATCTTCTTCCTGATCAGAATCGGATAAGTCGTCCAAATCAACATCAGAATCACCATTATCACCACCCTGATCAGCTGAAAGTTTGGGGTGGGTACGAGGTTGCAACAACGAACTTAACAAGTATGGGAGAGGAGGCGAACGGGTACGGAAATTGAAAAACTTCCGGTGATCTACAGGATCTTGAGGCTTTGAAGTCAGACTAGCATCAGCCAAAATTTTTAGAGAGTAGCACAGCAACATTAACTGTGGTCTCCAGGCCTGGCCATTAGGAAGTACCTTTAGCCCATCCCGATTTTTACGACATGCAGGGTGGTTCTCCACAAGGGAAACAGGGTTCATCATGCCTAGATTCATAAAACGCAAATCACCAACGGCTTGACCAATAGACTGCTGTATAACATGACTACGCTGTCCCACAAACACTTCATAGCCAATTGAAGTCCCAGTTGGACCATCTGGGGGAGCACAAGCAGCATGAGTGAGTGTGAGAATGGTACTCCGCCAGATGGAAGAACCAAGAGAGTTGGAGATTGTTCTCAACATGGGTAGATCATTTAGATCTCTTGTCTGTGAATCCAGCCGATCTACATAAAGTGTGAGATCTGGAGGATATCTCTTGGTGAACTTCTTGACTGAGGCTAAGACTTTACGGTTGAAAGCCTGCTCCAATGCAGAAGGTTTAAGACCAGGTGCATCAATGACCCTGATCTTGACTCCGTCCACTACTCCACAAACCTCATTAACAGAAGTGGTTTCAGGTTCAAATGCATTAATTTTAACCTTCTCTTCACCAAATATAGAATTGATGGTGGCACTCTTGCCAACACCACTTTTCCCAAGAACCAACAGGTTCAAGGAAAAGTCTAAATCATCTTTCCCCTCAGCCTCAAGCTGCATAGCTGTCTGTTTTGCATTATCAAGACTGAAGGATGGAACTGTCGTCCTTCCTGCAAGAATTGCTAGTTTATAAAGAACTTGTGATGATACAGATTGGTCAACTGTCTGGCCAATTCTTTGAACAAGCCTTAAAAATTTCACCCTCAAGTCCTGTATCTTCTGCAGCTTCTTCTTGTCTTCATCACTTAGGCTCTCCTCGGATGGAGCAGCAGCACTAGGCGGAGCAAAGATGCTGGAATTGCTTGAATTAGACGCAGGTCTCACAGAACGGAGTGATGTTCCCAAACCAGCAGGACGCTCAACAGAGAAAAGGCGAGACCCATCCTGAGATGTTATAGTGATTGGACCAGTATCTGAACCAGAACTAGTTGCCGCTTTCAAAAGAGCAGCTAATGCAGCAGAATCAATCAACTCTCTACCCTCCCCTTCCTCGTCAGATTCAGCTTCTTCCTCAGAGTCTGTGACAACCTGTCCATCAATCATCTCTGAACGATCTCCAGAAGCCAACTCCTCCATAAAATTTCTGGAAGAGATTTCACTCTTAAAGAACAGAGGTTCACCTTCACCATCAGAGCCTTCATCATATTCCTCTTGGGGTATGTAAAATCTCTCCTCAGCTTCATCTCCCTTATCCGGGATCAAAGTTTCAATTTTATCATCAATCTTATCAGATGCATCATCATCTACATCATCATGCTGAACCTTCTCTTGATCCCCACCAGAAACAGATTGCATTCCACCAGTAGACTCATGCTGCTTGGATTCAGCAGCTTCAGCATTAATCTCTTCTGATGCAGGTGTTTTTGCTTCATTAGCGAGGGCCTTTTTGTCAGAATTATCAACAATCTGCAAAGGCAAACCTAATTAGGCATATAGTAATGTCATTAATAGCTAGTTCAACATGATTATACTAATAATAAAAAATGCTCACCTCAG